CTAAAGGCCTTGGTCCGTAGATGCCTGCACCAATGTCTCGGCCCATCTGCGTACAATTGCAGCGAGCTTGCTACAAAATTGAACGCACATGTACAAAGGCCCGACAAATCTAGCCCAACTTGGGAAATACGTCCGACTACCTCATTCGTCTGTAACATCCTCGACCTAAAAAGGCAATTGGCAAATTGAAATTAATATAACAGGCAACTGCTTGATGCGAAGGTATGCTAGCAGAATGGACCTGCCGGCGGACGAGGAAGAAATTAAAAGCATAGAACGCTATCGCTGTCACTGTACTGCCCCATCAGCTGCTAGAATCTAACCTAAAGTAATCTGAAGGGATCAAACTAAAAATTTAGCAATGATTTAAATAGTATCGCCTATGCAGTGAGTTATTTGTATCTTCTTGGCAATTTAGTGCAGTGGGACAGTCAGGTTTCGGCAAAAGTATTCGATCCATATCATACTTAAATTTCCAATTATCCAAATTTTAGCTTCGTATTTATTTTGTAAAAATAATACATAAATCTAAGAACGAAACCAAAACAACTAAATACAAAGGTAAATAATAAGTACAAGTACATTACATGAGTTAATACACAGTAAGGGTTTTGGTAGAATTGTAAATTAAAATATTTAGATTTTCATGACTTTCATACTTAATTCCAAACGTAAACTAAACTACTGCAAGATTTCCATTTGTTGCTTCTCAATCTCTTGCCCGTAAGGGTTTTCACTACATTCCTGTATGGTTTTTGGCTTCAATATGAACAAACGCCTACACAAAATTACTCACTTGCAGAAACAAAACAACTGACGGTAGTTGCAAGTTGGCTGCAATCGCAGACCAGAGAGATTATCACCCCTATTGCGAGTGTCGACTGGCAGTAGATAAACGACTATTAAGCGATTATCGATTATCGATGCTATTGTGAGTGTCGCTTAGTCGCTCAATTAGCGACTGTGAATACTTCTTAATCGCTCACCCTTCTATTGCTGTTTTTTTAGTCGTTGGAGTTTGCGTTTATAAAATTTACATAAGAAAGTGGTAATATAATGGATAAAAAGTAAGTCAATTGAATTGGAAGTTGTAAAAAATTGTGAAATATACATATGTATGTACATATGTGTCTGAATTACAGATAAAAAATTGTAAGCAACAAAAGGCAACTTGCGCGGTTGGTCGAGCTGATGCAGGAGAGTGAGGACATGGGCAAAGGAATTTCCGTAAAGAGCAGGGGAGGAAGCTCCGCTTCTTTTGTGAAAGATATACAACATTTCTTGTGCATATAATTCCGGCTACGCCATCCACAGTGTTTTTGCGCAGAACCAACATCAAAGTTTACAAAAAACTGCATAATTTATTAATTAACTAATGCTCGGAAACTTGAAATCTTTATGTTAAATTAAAGTTTAATTCTTTCACTACACTTGTATGTTAAAGTTTTAAAACTCGGGTCACGCGTTTGGACACAAATACTCAACATCATTGTACAAATAACTAAACGGTACCGTATTTCTTAAACTTCCATAAAATTTATTAATGAGGAAAACAGCTTTTCCTGCAAATCCTGTAAAACCTAAAAACCTTGAAGCATCGGGAACGCAACTTCTATTCATAAAATTCACATATGTACATACACTTCATCTTCCAACTCCATGGGATCCGACGAATCTCGCAATTCCCTCCTTGCTTTAGCCAACTCTACTAATCTATTAGCTTCCACATCATCTTCCTCATCACTAAACCATATTTCAACTGTGTCCATTTTTTTAATTTTATAATAAAATCAATTATTTTAAAAATGATGTAAATGAAACATTAAAGAAACAAATGTAAACAAACCAACAGCTGTATACAATTCCGTCACCATTCACAATAGTACAAATTTTTATCGATCAAGTTACACAATAGCAAAATAAAAGATGATCGACTCGATCGACAAATTTCTATTCTACTGCCAGTCGACACTCGCAATAGGGGCCTATGTGACATTCCAGCGCCTTATTGTCGACTCAGCAGCGCTGCAACCAGCGTAAACATGAACGCCGCCACAGACACGCCCAGCGCACTGCTACCATTGCAATTGGAATTCGAGCAGGGTATGCATTTGCTCAGCTGTGTGCCATTGTTCAACGCACGCAGCTGACCGCAAACGCTCTCCATGGTGGTGACGCGCGAACAGCCGCGGTCCAACGACGCAGTACCGTTAACTGGAGGGTAGAAAAAATATAAATTAAAAAACAAAAAAATACAAAATAACCAATGGCTAGGTCGTTAACCCAACTCACCCATCTTTTGTACGCTGAAGCAGTGGTAGGAGTAGTCATCGGCAACATATGGCAACGCTTGTGGCGCACCAGTGGTGGTGGTTGCATTCAATGCATTCTCAGTGATGGTGGTTGCATTCAATGCATTCTCAGTGGTGGTGATGGTGGTGGCATTATCGGCATCCACTTCCTCTGGTTCTGCAACGGCTGAACCTACTATTGGTGGTGTGGGTACTGTGGTGGTGGTTGGCGCTGGGCCGACTGTGGATGGTGCCGGTATGGCCTCGGTAGTGGAGCCCGCTGTGGTCGTCTCAACGCTGGTGGTGGTACTCGGCTCTGTTGTTGTGCTACTCTCCGTTGATGTCTCAGTTGAGGTCGTCGTCGTCGTTGTGGTAGGATCAGCGGTGGGCTCCTCTGTTGTACTGAGTTTCTCGAAATATGTAGCGTCGCAAGCCTCGAGTGGTGTTTCTTTTGTGACCTTGGAACAATCTTCACAAACATAACACATCAGCTGGCGATCGGCGACGCTGTTGGCGTTTGAGACTTTGGCGGTGTGGCATGCTGTAAGAAGGGGAAAGTGAGGTTAAGAAATTAATTTTGGGGGAAGTAAAAATTAAATACTATATGTAAATATTGGAGAGTTGTGGTTTGAAACAGCTGATTTTTTCCACCATTATTTTTATGTTTTAATAATTTTTGGAAAGCTTTCGATGAAAACGATTGATTTTTTCTATTTTTGTGAAACTTGTGGAGTTTTGGAATGAAAAAATCGGAGGCTTGAACCTGTTCAATGTTGTTTATGTTTTTGAAAATATTAAATCGAAAGTAATGGAGAGTTTTGTACTAGAATTATTGGAGATTTTAACTTATACTATGTTCTTCATGTTTTGGTAAATATGGAAGAGTTTTTGTTTGAAAATATTTCAAATTTTTCATCATATTTTTGTTTTAAAAATATTTGAGGGTGTTGAATCGAGAATATTGGAGAGTTTTCTATTAAAATTTTATGAGATTTCTACTTTTTCAAAGTTTTTTATGTGTGTTTTATGAGACTCTAACGTTTTCTAATTGTTTACATTTTTTCAACATTGAAGAAAGTGCTTTTTTTATATGACGTGGTTTTATGTCACGATAGATACTGGAAAGTTTCCACTGAAAGGATTGGAGAGTTTTTGATTGAAAATATTGGAGGCTTTGACTCTTTATACCTTTTTGTTTATAAATATTGGAGAGTTTATGATTGAAAGTTTCGGAGACTGCAACTATTTGAACGGTTTTTTGTTTTGGAAAATATTGGGGGGGCTTCAAATCGAGTTTTCTGCCATAATTATTGGAGACATAAACCTTTTCTATGTTTTTTAAGTTTCGATTGAAAATATAGGATATATTAACTATTTCAACATCTTTACCTTTTGAAAATATTTGAGGGATTTCAATCGAAAATATTGCAGAGTTTTCGATTAAAAATATTGGAGACTTTTACCTGATGTTAGTTTTCTACGTTTTAATAAATATGGAGGAGTATCCTATAAAAAATATTGGAGAGTTTTCGAATGAAAAATTTGAGACTTTTTATGATTTTAAAAATATTCCAGCCTTTTGTTTTTGAAAAAATTAATTTTCTCCATAATTTGGTTATATTTTTATAAATATTGGAGACTTTTCCATTGAAAAAATTATTTTCTTCCACGTCATTTTTGTGTTCGACCAGTCTTGTTTAGCCTCAAAGATGATAAGATTCTTGCTAATGACGCGTCGAACCATAGCTTTAAATTCTTTTAAATGCGCTTCAATTTATTTATGAATTTTCAGGGCTTTTGTTTTATCTCGTGGCATAAAAAGTAGTTAATTACTGTCAATGGAGTTCAGGTTGTTTGCTTTTCAATAGATATTGGAGTCTCAGCAGACTAAATAGTATAACAAAGCTATCATGGACTCAATGATAAGAAATTTAAGGCTGTGAGCTACGCAGTTGTCTTTTAAAAATATTATTCGAGATTTTTAAAAAAGAAGTTATTTATGACAGCTAGCGTTAGTTTGTGTGCGTGTATATGTGTGTACATTTGGACATAAGGGTGGTCCAAAAATGCATGTAGAAAAGTAAAGTCGGAATTTTTATGCTCTCACCCCCTAGGATTGTTCTATACCAAAAATA